TGTCATGAGTTTCAACATCAAGAAGCGCAACTTTCTTCTGGTCAGTGTAGGCCAAACATAGCCTCGAGATGGCCCCACAGAGCCCAAAGATAGCCCAAGAGTGGCGGATGCTGGGCTAACATGGGCCACATAGCCCCAACATGGGCCAACATAGCCCCCAAGATGGGCCAACATGGCCCCAAGATGGGCCAAGATAGCGCCAAGATGGGCCTACATAGCCCCCAAGATGGGCCAACATAGCCCCAACATAGCGACAAGATGGGCTAGCGTAGCTCCCAAGATGCCCAGAAGCATCGACCCAAGCTGTGCCAAGAAAGCAACAACAACAACAACAACAACAACAACAACAACAACGAGCCACCACTACCACCAACGACAACTACAACAACAACCACCGCGGAAACAACACCAACCACAACAGCAACACGAGCAACAACGACAACTACAAGGACAAGCACACTACCACGACTGCAACAAGCCCTTTGCTTGGGCCCCTGGCCGGCTGTCGGGCGTAAGCCCTTAAATAACCTTCGGTTACCACTGAAGGCCTCCGGCGAGGACACGGGCTTCGTGGCCGGCGCCCGGATTTAAGAGGCTTACGCCTGACAGCCGGGCGCCGGCCAAGCAGGGCGAGGGCTTGTTTTCAGTGGCTTCGCTTGGGAGGAAGGAAAAATCGAAAAAAGTTGTCGCCCCCCAACAAATGCTCTGCATACCTTCCAAGATGGCGCAACATAGGGATAACATAGGGCAACATGGGGCCAACATACGCCAACGTACGCCAACATAGGCCCAACCTAGGCCAACCTAGGCCAACATATGCCAACATAGGTGTATCATAGTTTCAACATGGGCCTAAGATGTGCTCAACATAGACCACATGGGCCCAACTTGGCGCAACCTAGTGCCAAGATGCGCACCAGATGGCTAAACTTTGCTCAATATAGGCCCCACCAAGACTTAAAAAGAGAGAAAGAGAAAGACAGAGAACTCAACCGTAAGATCCAAAAAAGCTGGATAAATACTCTCTCTCTCTCTCTCTCTGTCGCTTTTTCTTTGTCTTTTTCATTCTCTCTTTCCCTTTTCTCTCTTTGTCTGTATCTGTCTCTGTCTCCGTCTGGGTATCTCTCTCTGTCTCTCTCTCTCTCTCT